AGAAGCATGGAGGTTCAAATCATCATCTGTCTGTAATAGTTTGCCACAGCTAAAAAAAAAAAAAAGCAAAAACAACAAATTGTTTAGACTTCATACAATAAAAGCAGTCTCTTACTTATTTTTTATTATTTTTAAAAGATCTGTGGATGTGACTGGGTTTTTATTTACAGAATTATTTAAATATACCAAATTTTAATTTTAATTGGATTTAATTGAAAAAGATGTCAAGAAAATGAATCACATTTTTGTACTTAATTGAAGAACAAAAATGATTTCACTATATGTGAGAATAACCTGCTGTTGAATATAATAATAAAAATTACAAAATTGTATAAATACATAAATATAGTCTATTGTTGAATTAATTTTTATTATTTATAAAAACATTAAGAGAACTTCTGTTCCAACTTACTTTTCTATTCCTTTCTTTTTTATTTTGTATTTGCTCCAATATACAAGATGGCTATTCAGCTAGTATTAATAAAAAAAATATGAGTGGACCTAAACTGGCCTTGAATTAATTTTTATTATTAATAAAAACATTAAGAGAACTTCTGTTCCAACTTACTTTTCTATTCCTTTTTTTTTTTTTTGTATTTGCTCAAATATACAAGATGGCTATTCAGCTAGTATTAATAAAAAAAAATATGAGTGGACCTAAACTGGCCTTTGAATTAATTTTTTTATTAATAAAAACATTAAGAGAACTTCTGTTCCAACTTTTTTCTATTCCTTTCTTTTTTTATTTTGTATTTGTCCAATATACAAGATGGCTATTCAGCTAGTATTAATAAAAAAATATGAGTGGACCTAAACTGGCCTTTGAATTAATTTTATTATTAATAAAAACATTAAGAGAACTTCTGTTACAACTTACTTTTCTATTCCTTTCTTTTTTATTTTGTATTTGCTCCAATATACAAGATGGCTATTCAGCTAGTATTAATAAAAAAAATATGAGTGGACCTAAACTGGCCTTGAATTAATTTTTATTATTAATAAAAACATTAAGAGAACTTCTGTTACAACTTACTTTTCTATTCCTTTCTTTTTTATTTTGTATTTGCTCCAATATACAAGATGGCTATTCAGCTAGTATTAATAAAAAAAAATATGAGTGGACCTAAACTGGCCTTGAATTAATTTTTATTATTAATAAAAAAACATTAAGAGAACTTCTGTTACAACTTACTTTTCTATTCCTTTCTTTTTTTATTTTGTATTTGCTCCAATATACAAGATGGCTATTCAGCTAGTATTAATAAAAAAAAATAACCTAAACTGGCCTTGAATTAATTTTTATTATTAATAAAAACATTAAGAGAACTTCTGTTACAACTTACTTTTCTATTCCTTTTTTTTTTATTTTGTATTTGCTCCAATATACAAGATGGCTATTCAGCTAGTATTAATAAAAAAAATATGAGTGGACCTAAACTGGCCTTGAATTAATTTTTATTATTAATAAAAACATTAAGAGAACTTCTGTTACAACTTACTTTTCTATTCCTTTCTTTTTTATTTTGTATTTGCTCCAATATACAAGATGGCTATTCAGCTAGTATTAATAAAAAAAATATGAGTGGACCTAAACTGGCCTTGAATTAATTTTTATTATTAATAAAAACATTAAGAGAACTTCTGTTACAACTTGCATTTTTCTGTCTGTAGGACGGCTATTCGGGTAATCTAAGAAATTCAAATGTAATTGCATCACATTAATTTTATTAATCTTGCTTCTCGCCAATAACTAAAATACAATGGCAGAGTCAGAATTCAAAAGAAATTAGTCCAGAGTGAGTGGGTAAAAATGAACAAATTCTTCTTCCTTAAAATCTCAATCATCAATTCAAGTGTCAAATGAAGTAAAAGACACAGGGTTGATTGCATTAAATTTTTTATATTAAGTCTAAATTTCTGTCATGAAAAATTATCATTATTTACATTCAGACTAATATCCTCATCATTTCAAACATTGTGTTCTCCAACCTTCATCAGGTACGTGTCGATTTGGGTAACCATCAGAGAATTTCAAACTGAACACTTTATTTAATTGTTCCTATTCCAATTTCCACATTCAGAGATAATCTCATCTTGTTCTTTCTTTTTTTTTTTTTAGTACTGTTTCTACTGAGCGTAAATCTGTACTACCCTGCACAAAGAATTTAAGACAAAATTATTATGTAAACCAAATTCCTAAACATGAACAGCAGAACAAAGACAATTCATCTCCACAGATTAAATAAAGGGTTCAATTCAAAATGACCTGAAGTTTACCTAGTGCAACAAGCACCTGATGGAGGCCAAAGGTCACAAATATTGTAATAACAACAAACATGAGAGCAATAATCCAAATGTAAAAATGTCTTAATTTGGAAAAATTTGAGCATTTTGTTTTCTTTCTTTTTCTTATGTACTAATGAGTCTGGATGAATTTTCTTTTGAAAGAGAGAACGAGAAAAGAGAGTGAGAGAAAGAGAACAAGAAAAAAAGAGAGAGAGAGAGAGAAGAAAAGAAGAAAGAAAAAAGAAAGAGAAAAAGAAAAAGAAAAAAAAAAAAAAAAAAAAAAAAAGAAAGAAAAAGAAAAAAAAGAAAAAAGAAAAAGAAAAGAAAGAAGAAAAAAGAAAAAGAAAGAAGAAAAAAGAAAAAGAAAGAAGAAAAAAGAAAAAGAAAGAAGAAAAAAGAAAAAGAAAGAAGAAAAAAGAAAAAGAAAGAAGAAAAAAGAAAAAAAGAAGAAAAAGAAAAAAGAAGAAAAAGAAAAGAAAGAAAAAAGAAAGAAGAAAAAAAAAAAGAAAAAGAAAGAAGAAAGAAAGAAAAAAGAAAGAAGAAAAGAAAGAAAAAAAAAAAAAAAAAAAAGAAAAAAAGAAAAGAAAGAAGAAAAAGAAAAGAAAGAAGAAAAAGAAAAAGAAGAAAGAAAAAAGAAGAAAAAAAAAAAAAGAAAAGAAAAAGAAGAAAAAAGAAAAAGAAGAAAAAAGAAGAAAAAAGAAGAAAAAGAAGAAAAAAGAAGAAAAAGAAGAAAAAAGAAAAAAAAGAAGAAAAAAGAAGAAAAAGAAGAAAAAAGAAGAAGAAGAAAAAAGAAAAAGAAAAAAGAAAAAGATGAAAAAGAAAAAAAAGCCTCTTATATGATAGTCTATAAAAGAAAACCTTCATGTTTTTGATATACATAAGTCATTTTATAATGTAATCCAAGTTGAATTCAAAAAGATTTGAAGCACTGATTCTGCAGCTTTGACAATAAATCACTGACAATATAACACTTACTCTAGACATCTGGTCAACTCAACTTTTCCTTCCTCATCTTCTATGCCTGGAGCATTTTCAGGTATAACGTCCGGTTCAGTTGACTGAGACAAAGAATTCTCAGATCCTGGTTCTGATTCTGCCCAACAAAAATATAAATTTAATATTAAGACAAGCAGCATTCTTTTCAGACAAGTATCTCTTTAACAGTTTCTTTGAAAATCACATGAAACCACTTCATATCGGCAATTTCTTTCCTTAATTTTTTACTCAGAAATGTAGGAATTTTACTTGAAAGATTTTACTGAAAAATGCCCCATACTCTCCAGAGATTATTATACACTATAAACATCATCACGTGAGGTGATTTGGGGGGGGGGGTCATCAGCCAGTCTAAGAACAGTCACTGTCTCATGACTGGATGTGGTCATAAAGTCCCTGCACAACTGAGCACCTGACCAGTTCCCCCCACCACCACCACACATAACTGGATAGAAAGCCAGAGAGGTATTCATTCATACATGGCGCCTCTTTGGTAAGTAAACCTGAGAGAGCCCATTCTTCTCTATGTCAAACCACAGACAATGTCTTCCAACTTGAATACCCACTTGTCATCACTGCACTGGCTGCATCCATGGCTATGGATGCCCAATCTACCCCATTTTGCTAGGTGGCTTTTGACTCTGCAAAAAGGTTCATTCAACCTTTGACAAGCCTTGCTTTTAATTCTAACCGGGTATATAACCACCTTCCTCATCAGAAGAGCCTGCGGGTGGGGGGGGAACTACATGGTGCCAGTAGCATTTGTAAAGTCACCTGGCTTCATCATTCAGTATTGAATATTATTGTCTCAGGTAAAAAGACAAACAGAAATTGAAAATGGTTCCATTAGAACAGTGTTTCACAAACCTTTTTCATCCTGAACCCCCCTTTGGACACAAAAAATGGATTCATTCTGTTGGTAAAGCTTGGTTTAATTTAATTCCTGACCATTGACAATTTATCTTTTTCCTGATTTTCAATGCAGGATATACAGCCTGAATACTGAGACTTGCTCAAACAAATTTTTTGTAAAACTCAAGTGGATACAAGATGAATTTATCCTGTACGCAGGATTGTAATGCTGACTTTTCAATCGATCCATACCACAAATGTAACAATACTTATTTGTAAAAGAAATAAATGATGGATACCATTATTTTTGTCATTAGAACCAGCACCAAGAACATATCCTGCTGCTTCTGTGTATGGTTCATCAATATCTGGATCCTCTGAATGGGCTAAAATCCTAGAAAAACAAAAAAAAAAAAAATTAAATAAATTTAAAAAGGAAGATAGCAAATCTTAAAGCAACAAAAACTGCTTACTTCTAGACACTTTACAAAGATACATTTTGGTAGCCATAGAAAAATGCTTTTAAGACTCTGGCTGTTTGAAAAGAGGGTAAATGTACATATCTTACAAGCCAGTTTTAATTAGGTCTCCCATGAATCCAACCATATTTCAATAGACATTATGACGGCATGCAAAACTGAAATTAGTCTAAACATATAAACTGATAAAGATTCATTTCAACAATGAAGCTGAAGTTTCTTGTCAATGCCAATATCTCTTTAAATAGACTAGCTGTTTGTTATTACAAACAGTATTCAGTCAATCTAAAAAAAAATTTCTTTTAACCCATATTCTCCTGGCATCAATTAAAAACATTTTTTTCAATATATTGTGACTATTTTTCTTGATTTCAGATAAAAATGTGTAAATTCTCCAACATTTTCAGTGAAATTTTTAAATTTTTAAATTTGGAAATTTTTAAAATTATAATTTATAATTATAATTTAGATAAATTGAGAAAAAAAAAAAACAAACAAACAAAAAAAAAAAAAAAAAAAAGAGGTGCCAGTTTAAAGTGATGTTAAAAGAATATTGGTCAATATCTCCCAACGCTTTCTTTCTTAACCCATATTCTTATGGTGTCAGTTTAAAATGATGCTTTTTTTTTTTGCAGTTATTATGATTAGTTTTCTTAAAGTTTGTATTTTCTTGGTTCCAGATGAAAAAAAAAAAAAAAAAAAAAAAAAATTGGGAGGGGGCATGGGGATCCATTTGATCAAGATGAAATATACTTATCCATGTACACAGGGTAATGTACTTTCAGAATATATATGGTTATGGGAGGGGGTCTATCTGCAAAACCCTAGAAGTTTAATAACAAACAGAGGCTACAACTATATATATATATATATATATATATATATATATATACACTACCATCAACCCCATGGATAGAAGGATAGAGTTGGAAAAAGAGAAAGGAAAGAGATAAGAAAATTTAATTTCCATGGGCTTTAAAATTTGTTTCAAGTCTACAAAAAAAAAAATAAATAAATAAATAAATAAAAATAAGAGCATCTTACCAATCCATTGCTTGTTGAATTCCTTGATAACCAGTTTTGGCCAGCCCTTTCTGACTAAAAAAAAAAAAATGATAAAAATCTTTTATGCAACATATTTTTCAGCATAATACAATGTTTCTCAGGTTGAATATTGTACAGTAAAAAAATTTTGTAATTTTATTACAATTACCTACTCCTTATATAAATTTCCCAAACATCAGGCTGTTGATAAATGTGTCAACACCTCATGTTTCAATTCAGATTAATTAAACAGCTAATTTTTTTTCCAAATGTTTCAAAAAAAGCATATTTTATTTTTGAAGGAGAACAATAAAGAGAATTATTTTGTTCTGACAGATTCGTTAATATGGACAGTTTTATCAATAATCAGAAAAAAAAAATCCAATTAAATTCAGTTTGAAATACAGCAATGTATTTTGCATATTGGAAATATTAAATTTAATCTATTAGCATGAAATTCAAACTAAAACAAAAGCTTCAAGCATTTTTACATTTTTTTAAAATGCATTGTAAACCTTAGATATCACTTCTTTTTATAGATACCCAGATGTATACTACCTATAGCTTTAAATATTATATTTAACCCTGCATTAGTCCCATGGGTTGTTTTGTTAACCCAATTTTTTTTAAAGTACTTGTAATTCCTAGTTAGCAACTTGTTTCTTTTGCTCCCCCTCCCCCTACTACACACCTGAAGGTGTGTAACAGTTGTAGCTCAGTTGTCATGGGAGGTACACACCAGGATACTACCCATTCTCAGAAATCCAAAGTGACTATTGCAGGGTTAATGTGTATATGCATTGGAGTAAAAATTCAGTAAAATTAGTATTTACCGAGCAAGAGATCAAATTTCCTACCCAAGAAAATGTGACTCTTGACTGAAAAGGAAGAAAGATTTTCTGTGCGGTTTTGTGCAAAAACAGCTTTATATGACCGCTTTCATATGTTTTCAATGCAATACTTGATTGAATGAATAGATGAGCAGATTTCAACAATGATACGACAGTTGAATTGTTGCAACAAATATATATCGTAAGGCACTACCCACTGATTGGTGATTTCTTGCTCAACTTAACATCTACATTGTCTCATTTCAATCTTGTCAATGTGACCACCATCTTCTGGCTTTCTCCTTTATATTCTGGATAGGAGTTATTCCCTTGTTCAAATTTAACTATACTAAGGATTGAGGAAAGGATAAAAAGAGGAATGGAGAAGGATAAAAGGAAGAATGGGGATCAGATCATCAGAAGATGGAGGAAATACAGAATGCAATGGATAAATTGTCCAAACTACACAAAAATATCTTGAAATACTAAAGAGTAAATTTATTCTATAATATTGCCATTGACTTCAACCAGAGCCTCCAGACAACTTCGGGATCTCCAGCGACTATTCTGGACTCTCTCCTTGTTTAAGTTGGTGAATGCTGCCATAATCCTTGCATTCAAGTCATCTTTGATGTTACAAGGAGTTTTGTTAGTCTCTTGCTCAACTGCACCCCACTCATAATAATCAAGCAGGGTTGCAGTCCGGGGAGTTAAGTGGCCAGATATAAGAGATGATGTGGTCAAAGAAATTGACTGACAGCCATGATTGGGTTCTCCTGCTTGTGCGACATACTGCAGGTTCCTGTTGCCAGATATAGTATCTTCCAACAGCCACCCTCTTGACCCAGGGCAGCATTACCTCCTCAAGTCACTTGCTATTCCTGCCTGTGGCAGATTGCACAACTCATATTATTGTGTGTTTTTACAGACCAACACATCTCCACAAGTGGACCAGGCTGCTGGGGGTATGGGTCTTTTTTATAAAAAGTCAAAAAACAGAGCAAATAATAATCACCATTGCCTCCTTTACTGTCTCCCTTTCTGAATTTATGCCCTTTTTTTCCCCTACCCCAACTAAATTTGAATCTGCATATTTAACATAATTTATGTTCTAATTGGGTTTTTTTAAATGTGGTAAAATCCTCAATGACACATGGCACAGCGGATAAAAGCGTTAGTTAGATCCGGTGACAGGACCCAAAGAGTGTGAGTTCAATACCTGGTTAAGCCGGTGGAGAACTTTGAGAGGGAAATTAAACAGGAGATAACTGACATCCATTAGACATGGCACGTGGAGCTAGAACAGTCTACCCCAGTGAGCGAAATAAAGGGTTCAGTTCGACATTCTAACCACCTGAAGACAGCCGGAGCACACAACAGCCGAAACGCTGTGATAAACACAGCGACAAAGATGAAGACAATAGTCCGAATAATGTAAATAGTGTACATAATACCTCATATATATATATATATATATATATATATATATATATATATATATATATATATATATAGAGAGAGAGAGAGAGATATAGACAGATACTGGTAAAATCCTTGTCCATTTATACTTATGTGTAAGTGTCTGCGCAGCGGATTAGTTGTTACAAACATCCAATCGGATGTGCGGAATATGTGGTCTTTCTTTCTCTTATTCTTTAAAAAGGCAAGAGTGGCTGTTAGCGTTTAGTTGGAAGAGGGAATCAGGGGTTGATCTTCCCTGATTGGGTCGATTTGGTGATGAGGAGTATGATGTTGAAAGACCCAAAACTCCCTGATGAACCAAGTCAAAACATCACTGACTACTCCCTTGCGCGCCTACTTAAAAGCGTATTTTCGAATTAATGGGATTGAATATTCGATTCTAATGAAATAAGTATCATGATGGTATTTTAAGTATTCATTTTCACTATTATAATAATTAATAATTATATATATATATATATATATATATATATATATATATATAAAAATTTGTTACTTATGTGATTGTTTTTATATTCAACACAGGCTCCAGAGTTTTGTAGACAAACCTTTGTGTAATCATTTGGTTCACTCATTAGAAAGTATCAGCAACTGTCTACTGATTTACTTTTATTTATATTATTTAAAAAAAATATAATTTATGCACTTTGTTGTTAGGTTGTTTTTTTTCTTTGTATGCATGTACGAGTGTGTATGTGGAGAATGTCATAGTTGTTTCTTCTTTTAATGATTTTCTTGTCCACTTATACTCTCTCACTATTCCTTTTCCTTCTTTTTTTTCTATCTATCTCCTTGTACTCTCTCACTATTCCTTTTCCTTCTTTTTTTTCTATCTATCTCCTTGTACTCTCTCACTATTCCTTTTCCTTCTTTTTTTTCTATCTATCTCCTTGTACTCTCTCACTATTCCTTTTTCTTTTTTTTTCTATCTATCTCCTTGTACTCTCTCACTATTCCTTTTCCTTCTTTTTTTTTTTATATATCTCCTTGTACTCTCTCACTATTCCTTTTCCTTCTTTTTTTTCTATCTATCTCCTTGTACTCTCTCACTATTCCTTTTCCTTCTTTTTTTTCTATCTATCTCCTTGTACTCTCTCACTATTCCTTTTCCTTCTTTTTTTTCTATCTATCTCCTTGTACTCTCTCACTAGTCCTTTTCCTTCTTTTTTTTCTATCTCCTTGTACTCTCTCACTATTCCTTTTCCTTCTTTTTTTTATCTATCTCCTTGTACTCTCTCAAAATTCCTTTTCCTTCTTTTTTTTATCTCTATCTCCTTGTACTCTCTCACTATTCCTTTTCCTTCTTTTTTTCTATCTATCTCCTTGTACTCTCTCACTATTCCTTTTCCTTCTTTTTTTTTATCTATCTCCTTGTACTCTCTCACTATTCCTTTTCCTTCTTTTTTTCTATCTATCTCCTTGTCTCTCACTATTCCTTTTCCTTTTTTTTTTTTCTATCTATCTCCTTGTACTCTCTCAAAATTCCTTTTCCTTCTTTTTTTTCTATCTATCTCCTTGTACTCTCTCACTATTCCTTTTCCTTCTTTTTTTTCTATCTATCTCCTTGTACTCTCTCACTATTCCTTTTCCTTCTTTTTTTTCTATCTATCTCCTTGTACTCTCTCACTATTCCTTTTCCTTCTTTTTTTTTTTTTTTCTATCTATCTCCTTGTACTCTCTCACTAGTCCTTTTCCTTCTTTTTTTATCTATCTCCTTGTACTCTCTCACTCACCTTTTCCTTTTTTTTCTTTTTTTTCTATCTCCTTGTTTTCTATCTCCTCTCACTATTCCTTTTCCTTCTTTTTTTTCTATCTATCTCCTTGTACTCTCTCACTAGTCCTTTTCCTTCTTTTTTTTTATCTATCTCCTTTGTACTCTCACTAGTCCTTTTCCTTCTTTTTTTCTATCTATCTCCTTGTACTCTCTCACTAGTCCTTTTCCTTCTTTTTTTTTTATATCTATCTCCTTGTACTCTCTCACTAGTCCTTTTCCTTCTTTTTTTTCTATCTATCTCCTTGTACTCTCTCACTAGTCCTTTTCCTTCTTTTTTTTTTCTATCTATCTCCTTGTACTCTCTCAAAATTCCTTTTCCTTTTTTTTTTCTATCTATCTCCTTGTACTCTCTCACTATTCCTTTTCCTTCTTTTTTTTTTCTATCTATCTCCTTGTACTCTCTCACTAGTCCTTTTCCTTCTTTTTTTTCTATCTATCTCCTTGTACTCTCTCACTAGTCCTTTTCCTTCTTTTTTTCTATCTATCTCCTTGTACTCTCTCACTAGTCCTTTTCCTTCTTTTTTTCTATCTATCTCCTTGTACTCTCTCACTAGTCCTTTTCCTTCTTTTTTTCTATCTCCTTGTACTCTCTCACTAGTCCTTTTCCTTCTTTTTTTCTATCTATCTCCTTGTACTCTCTCACTAGTCCTTTTCCTTCTTTTTTTCTATCTATCTCTTTGTACTCTCTCACTATTCCTTTTCCTTCTTTCTTTTATCTCTTTTGAGTATCAAAAGATAACATAACAATGTTAGTTACAATGTCAGAGACCGGACTTTAGGCTAATTTTTCTTGGGTTTTCTAAAGGTTTTTAAAATATAGGTATATTCCATTTTTTATTTATTTCTTGTTTGAATATTTTTTTAATTAATTCTTAAATGGTAAAGTAATTATTTGGTTAGCAGTTTCTGTTTAGTGGGTATTTCTACTTTGTTCTGACATTTTTGGGGTACTTATAGTGTATTTATTTTTCTGGGTTTTTTTTTAATGATTTGCAGCATATTTTCAGTGCAACTACAACTGAGTTTTACATTATTCCTGTTGAATATTTTGTGCAGTTTGCTTAATTTTGGAAAATGTTCATTGGTGGAGGGCGGGGGTGAAATTTTACCTATATCTGTTTCTACATTTTGATTATATGATGGGTTGAATTATATAGGATTTATATTTCTACTGGACATTTCCCACCCTTCTACATGTAAATATAAATATAAAAAAAAAAGGATATTTTTTAGATATTGCTTTGAACCTCACATTGGATGTTTATCAACCCTTCAGAAAACTAAACGACAACCCATATTACCTACAGACTTCCTCCAAATATCCGTACCGATCAATAAAAAAAATTTCAATGAAACAAAACAAGAGTATGAGATTGAAATAGCACTAAAAAGGGATATTTTGTTTAGCGTTTCAAACGATTTCTGCATACTAAACACTGGAAATGTCTCCCAATATCGCCAAAGTCAAAATGTAAGGTTCTTTCAAAAAATAAAAAATTAATAAGAACATAAGGAATGTAAATCAGTTCTGCGTATAAAGAAAACGTTTGAAACGCTAAACTTTTAATATCCATTATTTTCAGAAATAATGGAATGAATTTCCAAAAGAACAGGTTTGAAAAGAAATGGGAGTGGGGAACAGTTTTAAAAAGAGAAAAAAAAAAGGTATAAAAAAAAAAAAAAAAAGAATCAAAAAATAAATAAAAAGTGGTAAAATTAGAAAAAAAAATGTTTTAAATTTAAATTCCTTTGTAAAATGAAGAACTAATTTGCAAATCTGTAACGATTTAAACAATTGAAAAAGCGTTTTTTTTGTTTTTGTAAAGGAAAGAAAAATGAAAATCAATGAAAAAAAAAAGAAACAGAAACTTGTTAATTTTTCGGAGAAAACAAAAAATTTTAAAAAGAAATTACGTAAGAAATTAATAAAAACATTATTAATTATTTTACTTACAAATAATAATAAAAATAATGCAACAATTTATTAATTTTTGTATTCGTAAAATAAGGAATTTGATTTTTATTTTCGTTTTGCTTTTTTAAGATTGTAAAAAAAAAATTATATTTAAAAGAGACTTGAGAACTTTTCCCAAAAACTGAAAACACTTTTTTTTTTTAAGAATGAAATTAGGAAATTCGTTTGTTTTACTTTTTAGTACAAAAACGACAAGCTGAGAGATATTTTACAATTTTTAAGAATGTTTTCTATACAGCAAAAATTTTATTTTATTTTATTTTTAAAACTATGATTTTAAAAAAAAAATATTAAAAAAAAAAAGAAAAGAATAAATCCCAAATAAATCTTTAAAAATGGTAAAAATGCGATTTATCATTTAAATATTAAATAATCAGACATAAAAATCTAAATTAATTGTGTATTTTTTTAATCATAGAAAAATGTGATTTTAAATAAATAAAACTTTCTATAGAATTTGTTTGTTTTTTTTAAAGGAGGACAAAAAAAAAATCACTGGAATTTTCTATTTTCGAAAGAAAAAATAAAAAAACAAGGATTATTTAAATAAGAGAACATAAAAAAGAAAGGCTTTCTCACGCTCTTGTTTCGGAGAAACCCATTTCCATGAGAATGCCAACATCATCCAAAGAAGAACTCATGATATTCCTTCGTCTCAGTCTTTTTTTATTTGTGTTTCTCTTGTAAGAATCGACGAAGAACGAAGCAGAAAACGAAAATCGTCTCTCCTTCTTTTTCTTCTTCTGGTCTCCAGGCCCGAAAATAGCGCCACCTGTCAATCG